ATCTACTTCAACACGGGACATTCCATTATACAACCTCATCCGAAGGACCGGTCTCCCCATCCCGAAGTGGAATCATTTACCATCTTCGCAACTTTAAGCCACGCATGCAACTTCCAACCGCTGGTTCGATGTAAGACCACACAGATATTAAAAGGGCTATAAGGCCCCATATTTTGCAGGGCATTTGATGGGTGTTTTTTATGCGCGCCAGACTTGAAGAGTTTACCTAGTATGAATCAAATATTGTTCTCACTGACTGTTGAAATAATATATTTCAAGAAAACTTGGTTCTGGTTTACTGTCTTTCAGTCTGAGAGAGCTTTGTCCTATGTCTGTTCAAATTTTGATTTTAAATCGATATAACTACGTAGTAATAAACTGTAGCTGATTCAACTAATTCTAAATCACTAACAATCTGCTTAATTATGGCCAGAGGCAACATCCTCTGCAACATCTTGTCGACTGATGCAGTAGCCATAAAAAGGCAGTGTTCTTCGTCACACCTGCAAATTATTGATTTTTTTTAAACATACGATTCATTAAACGCAAAAATAACATTTTAACGACTTGACATATCTAACTATTAATCAGCAATTCAAAGGGGTTTTGGATGAATAAATTTAAAACTGAATCATTTCGTAAATCAATTCTGTCACAATGGTTTCTTTCATCAAGAGACCCATCGACCATAACGCTCACCATATTTAAAAATTCTCTTTCAAAGGAGAACCTGGATAAAAATTATCTAGATTTCTCAAAAATTTTTCAAGGTCGGTAAGCCGTCGCCATGATCTCTCTGTGGTCTCACACAGGTCCCCAGTCTCCTGAGAGTGTTGATGCCACCAAAAAATTTGCAAAGGTCCTGGTAATCAGTCTCTTAGAGAACCTGAAGAGCGCAAAGAGATCAACCAACCATCTCTTGGATCTCCCAATAATCTTTCAGACTTCTTATAAAGAACGCAAATTGTTTAGAATGCATAAGGATCTCTCAATGGTCTCCTTCTGTCTTGTAATAATCTCTCTTGGTCATACTTAATCCACCAGCTACCTCAGTACACTACTTGTTAATTTCAAAAGTAGCTACAGAAAAAAATGTAAACATCAATCTCAGAGATGTTTCAGTGCGCTCTCCTTGAGTGCCTTAATCATGAAATATGGCAATATTCCCAATTTTCAATACACAACAAACGCTTCATGATCTCCCAAAAACATTTACACAGAGACCGACTTTTGGAAGCTTTCCGAGATCACGAAGAGATTAAATATAGGGCAAGTTGTGCATCGCCCAAAGGTCTCTTAATGATCTCCATGTGTGTAAAGGGGTTTTTACCCCAATCCAAGTAGTACGCCGTGATTCCACTTTTTGTTATGTTGTGCTTAATATATGCAGTTAACTCTCTTTATAATTTTGATGTATATCAATCAAAATGAAGTGACTTAATAATAAATATCAAAATTTTGTCTGGCGCTTACCCTAGAACTAGTAAATAATACACTTCAATTTCTTTTGTGCGTTACCACCTCGAATAATCGTTTATTTTTTGTAACATTATCAATCAGTTCAGTGCCATCCTTAGAGGAAGTCTTGGCTAGCTTTGACCTTCAAATAGAAACCTTCAAAACTGTGTAAAATGTGTAGTGGATGATATATTCTCATAACTGTCTATTCAACTCTTAAATTCGTAACAAGATAGCTGTAAAATAACAAGTGAAAATTGGAAAATAAAATGCTTTTTTAAACTGTGCTTTGGGTGACATCACAAAGATCCGCTAAGGTGACCACTATCAGAGTTGACATGGGCCTTTGAAATTTTTGATTGAAGCGCATTTGCTTTGCATGGTGACAATCTCCGCCTAAAAGGGAGGGAAGGCAAAATTTTTACTTATTTAACAGTATATCTTTCAGTAAAGTATTTCTAAGAATAAAGTTGCAACTTGGATGAGAAAGTTGAGTCAAATACAGACTAAAGATATACCCAATGCCCTCACTATGAATGTTATCAAGTGGACCTGAGCTAAATGTCACTTTTTTGTTCTTATTTACATTAAACTTGAGAGATACTAATTCATCCTTAATGAAAGAACCCTCAAGGACAAAGAAAGAACATTTGAATTTGCAGAAACTTCCAATGAAAAATGCGGATGCAGAGATTATAAACCAGAAGTCTTTGATGAGACTATACACTGTAGCACAACTGGTTTTCACTTATAATGGAGAAAAGAGAAGTAGCACTTGGGACTCGAAACCATGGCAACAGCAATAAATGATCCTTGGTTTAGTCTCTTTGTGGCAAGTTTAATTGCAATTGGACTACTACAACTGTAGGAGGAGTAGCAGGAATTTCACAGAAAATAAATAGTTGCACTGTCATGGCACATGATACATCCTTCAAATATTGTTCAATTATAAACAGATCAGATCAAGGAAGAAATTCATGTGAACCCTGTACAAAGATTTTAATGATTTTCTATTTCCATCCTAATGTTTGAAAGTGCCTCTTGTATGGTGCAGTGATTAATCAGAACAAATAATATATCATATATTTCTCTACTGGTTGTGTTAGTCTTACAAATGCTCTTTTTTTTTTTAGGAATAATGACAATGCTACATCCGAACAAAACATAAAAACACTAATAATTACTTTTAAACTGTTTTCTAAGTGAGGCACGACACTGCAATTCGTTGTCGAGATATAAAATCAAAATATTACATTATACATTATCAAATCAATTTTAATAACTTCATACCAAATTATTATTGAAAGTTATAGTTAGCCAATAATGAATAAGAACTCTTTTTATTTGACAGATGCTATCAATTGCAGATCCTTTGACCAGTTCCCAAGAGATATAGATAACACATGCATAATCAGATATGCTCTACCAGAAATTTTCTTACAATAAACTCTAATTTGAAAGATGTTCTGTCAAAATGCTCCTTGAAATACCACTGTTTGATAATTACTGCAATACTTTTACACCTGTTTGGGTTGTGTATCTTAATTTTTATGCCCCTGGATCGAAAGATCCCGGGGGTATATTGTTTTTGTCCTGTCTGTCTGTTGTCAACTTTAACCTTGCCCATAACTTTTGATTGGTTGGAGCTACATGTATGACTTTCATATTTCACATGTGTATTCCTTGTGACAAGACCTTTCTTTGGGTACCATCATATTTGACCTTGACCTTGGAGTTTGACCCACTTTTGCAAAATTTTATGAGACTTTAACCTTGGCCATAACTTCTGAACAGTTGGAGCTTGGGGTTTCAAACTTCACATGTGTATTCTTTGTGACAAGGCCTTCCCTTGGATACCAACAATCATGACCTTTTGACCTTGGAGTTTGACCTACTTTTGAAAAACTTTAACCTTGGCCATAACTTTTGAACAGTTGTTGCTTGGGGTTTCAAACTTCACATGTGTATTCCTTGTGACAAGACCTTCCTTGGATACCAACAACTTTGACCTTAACCTTGACATTTTACTTACTTTTAAAAAACTTTAACCTTTGCCATAACTTTTGAACAGTTGCAGCTAGGGTTTTCAAATTTCACAGGTATATTCCTCGAGATAAGACCTTTCTTTGGGTACCAACATTTTTTATCTTTTGGCCTGGATTTTGACTTGCATTGAGAAAATTTAGCCTTCGCCATAAGCTGCCATATGGGGGCATCAGTGTTTCACAAACACATCTTGTTTTTTTTTTCAATTTTACCCCAATTAAAGGTCACAGTGACCTTTGAGTAAGATGCAATACACCTTCTACCCAAAATGCATTGATTGACCAAGTCTGATGATTCTAGGTCTAATATTTTTCCAGCTACGATTCGGGCATGGTTTTGCCATGTTTGGCTTAATCATCTTAAAGGTCACAGAGATCTACATGTACTTTTAATCTCTGACAACCTTCTACCCAAGATGTATCAGCTGACAGTTTTATTCTAGGCCTCATAGTATTTAAGTTATGAGCAGGACACAAAGAAAGCTAACAGACAAACGAACGGATGGACACAAGAATGCAATATCATAATACATCCCATCTCAAGACAGGCGCATAAAAAATCTAAGTAATCAGAAGTACAGAGAGCCGGGCTCATTTACAGAGTAGTGAACAAAGACCGTTTTACATGAAACATACATGTACATTGTAATAACAGATAAACAACGAGTTCAGACACTGGAAGAATATGTAACACAATATAAAAATATATTGCATATAGTATAAGTATAAAATGTTTAAAGAAATTAATAAAACGTAGTTTGAATTTAACATTTTTTATTGTTTCAGGTCTTATACCACTTACACAAGTAAATGAACAATGATGCAGCAAGGTCAAACGTTTATGTACAGATGAGTCCTCAGTGGGGATTTTCGTCGGGTCACGTGCTCCCCGCATCAGTGTTGGCCTGGTAACACAACCTTTATTTATAGAATGTGACCCAGACAAGGAGATCTTGTGAAAACCTTTCGCATATTTCTAACAAATAATTAATCGAAGAAAAATGGAGAAAGTATATTACCATTAATGTTTTGTTTTGTTTTGTTTAGAGAAATTCTTTATTAGTTAAGTTTAATTTGTTTAATTTAGTGTTTGTATTGCCTCAAAGGTGGTTGAGCATACGTACTATATTCTTACTCGTATTTGATTTGGCGGTGAGGAAGCAGCATTTCCGGTTGAACACCGTAACATAAGCCGGCCATTGCTCTTCGAGCAATGAGCCCGGCTAAAAATGACAAGTGGACACCTTACCCCATCTTTGATCAATAGAGGTTAAAAATGTAAGTAAGAGTCAGCATCCCAAGTATGAATGGATTTAAGATACATTATCCATGCAGATTTAGTCTGAGTAGAACTTAAAAGTTACTTGGGAAATGAATCTGCTCCAAAGAGTTTACCCAGCGAATGTCAGAACTGTGCAAAGGGATACAACTTTTTTGTACATGCATACTACATTTTCAGTGAAATTTTTTTATGTCAAAGAAAACAAGAAAGCAAACTTAAACAAGTAAAACAGATTTATTTATAAAAGAGTATTGCACATCACTTAACTTATTGACATCCATGTCAAAAAAGTATTGTTATTTGTTTAAAAATAACATGCCATAATTGACAATGTTAACATAATGGCAAGTCATTCTTAGTTCAAGCAAGTTTTTTTTAATTCCTCCTTTTTAAAAAAAAAAACCAACAAACAAACAGACATTTGACTGAACTCTTAATTTCACTAACCTTTTTCCTTTAAAATGTGAATTAGTCTTCATATTCATTTTAAATAATTGGTAAAGTTTAAAATAACTGGTACAGTACAATATTCATTATAAACTTAAAACAATTCACACCACAACTTCTCTCAAAAAACCCTAAATTTCTTAAAAGCCTAAATGAAACAGCCACACTTTCACTCACACAAGCAATAGTTTAAATTTTATGTGTCAATAAAAAATTCAAATATTTAATGCATAATTGGTATTGATAAATTAAAAAGATTAAAATTTAAAAAGGTTAACAAGGAGGAGCAGATCTGTGTCATACATTTATGTTAATTGTTCGTAGAACGTGTTTTTCAGATTCGTTGTGATGTGCATTAAATGTACTGTAACACGACTGCTGGGAAAGTGACTGAAGAAATTCTGTTAGATACGCCTGAAAAAAAGGAGAAAACATATTCAAAACCCCAATTCTAGCCGACAGAAAATATAAAAATGAAGTTATTTACTGAAAATAAATACTAATAATTGTACCTTATTTATTCATTCATTTAGGGAGGGGGTGTCTATTAATGCTTTTTTGGGGAATGTACTCACAAATACCAGGACTAAATACCAGAAAATATAAAAAATGAAGTTATTTACTGAAAATAAATACTAATAAATGTACCTTTTTTATTTATTCATTTAGGGAGGGAGTGTCTATTAATGATTTTTGGGGGAATGTACTCACATACAAATACCAGGAAGTCCAAAGACTGAAGATTCGGTGGTATAAAGTTTTTGCCCTGTCCAACCGTTTGCGTGTCGGTTTGTCCACAAAACCTTTAAAATTGCCCATAACTTCTGATTGGTTGGAGCTATGGCTTTCATATTTCAATTGTGTATTCCTTGTGACAAGACCTTCCTTTGGATTTCATCATATTTGACCTTGACCTTGGAGTATGAGCCAGTTTTGCAAAATTTTACCCAACTTTAACCTTGGCTATAGCTTTTGAACAATTGGTGCTAGGGCTTTCATATTTAACATGCCTATTTCTTGTTACAAGACCTTCCTTTGGATATCAACAATTTTGACCCTTTGACCTTGACCTAGGAGTTTGACCTACTTTTGAAAAACTTTAACCTTGGCCATAACTTTTGAACAATCGGTGCTAGGGCTTTCATACTTCAAATATGTAATCCTTGTGACAAGACCTTCCTTTGCATACCAACAACTTTGACCCTTTGACCTAGGAGTCTGACCTACTTTAGAAAAACTTTAACCTTGGCCATAACTTTTGAACAGTTGGTGCTACGGCTTTCATACTTCATATATGTAATCCTTGTGACAAGACCTTCCTTTGGATACCAACAACTCTGACCCTTTGTCTTTGACCTAGGAGTTTATTTGTTGTTTAATGTCCCTCTCGAGAATTTTCACTCATATGGAGGAAACACCATTTGCCGGTGGAGAGCTGCAATTTTTGACCTATGGGCCGCACTTAGGGTCATTGAGCAGTGAGGGATCTTTTTAGTGTCAGCACCTACTGCGACATGTGACCTCAGTTTATACGATTTCATCTGAAGGACAGGTCTCCACGTCCCACAGTGGGATTGAAACCCGTGAGGTAAGAATCAACTCCTTATTCCGCGACTCTAGAGCAGATGCTCTCCTATGAGTTTGACCTACTTTTGAAAAATTTAACCTTGGCCTTAGCTTTTGAAGGGTTAGTGCTAGGGCTTTCATACTTCACACGTGATCCTTGTGCCAAGACCTTCCTTTGCATACCAACAACTTTGACCCTTTGACCTACTTTTTAAACACTTTAACCTTGATCATAGCTTTTGAAGAGTTAATGCTAGGGCTTTCATATTTCACACATGTATTTCTTTTGAGAACGCTTTTGTTTGTGTACCATTAATTTTGATCATTTGACCTTGATGTTTGACTTATTTTTGAAAATCTTTAACATTTTCCATATTTATTCAATGGTTGCTGCTAGGGCTTTCATATTTCACAGGTATATTCCTCGAGACAAGACCTTTATACTTTGGGTACCAACAAATTTGATCTGCATTTGAGAAGGTTTAACCTTTGCTATAAGTTGCCATTACTGGCATTACTGTTTCACAAACACATCTTGTTTCTTCTTAGTTTAACATTTACAGAATTATTTACATTATCTTTGAAGAATAACAGAAATCAAATCAAAAAGAACACTAAAAAGTTGCATGTAAGAATTTCCCAGATGAATCTATCTGATAACTCTGACACACCAACCTGTAAATGTATTATATAAACCAGACACACCTACTTGTAAATCTATCTGATCACTCAGACATGCCTACCTGTAAATCCATCTGATAGGTCTGACACACCTACCTGTAAATCTATCAGATAACTCTGATACACCTACCTGTAAATCTATCTGATAACTCTGACACACCTACCTGTAAATCTATCTGATAAGTTGGGTCTTTTGAGAAATCAGGATCCTCTTCTTCCTCCTCATCAACATCATAACCTGAAATGACAATCAACAACAAAATGTATTCAAATGTATTCTTAGCATAACCAACTATTACTTGTTCATGCAAGACATTCTTAACTTAGTAAGAAATACGATTGTACTGTAAATGTCAAAATGATGAAACCTAAAAAAATCGCCATGTAAAGCATTACAGCAAAAATTATTTTGAGTAATGAAACATCTACTCTCTAACCATTGAACTCAGCTGCCATGCTGTCAATGAGGTCAGACAGAGTTTGACCCCTTAGTTGGACCTCTTCATCATCTCCATCCTCCTCTTCCCAGTCATCTTCATCTTCATCGTCCTCATCTTTACCAGTCTTACACATGTTAGCCTCGATCTGATTGGACAGTTCATTGATCAGCAGCTTATAGATTTTCACCAGGACCGGAATCGTGGTCCACTGCACAGGTTCTGAAAAAGAAATTATCTTTAATGCTCAAGGAAATGACATGTGGCCTCTTTATTACTTTTTAAAAACATAATTTTCTGTCTTCTTTTGCTGCACATTTGTTTTTTCCCAAAGTGTTTTCACCTACCATTGGCTGTTTTTGACCTGGTTCTAATTCCTTTTGTTGGCTGTTCTATTTCCTCCCCCTGTATCATGATTTCCTGTAGCCTGGTGTCATTGGTCTGTATTGCATATAACAAAAGCTTGCATAGAGCTACAGTACTGAAATGTGAGGAAAATAAATTTTAATATGTTTATGTTTCCTCAATAGGTCTTTAAAATACATTTAAACCTTCTTTATTCCAAATATTTTTCTCAACAATAGCAAAATAATATTTGACTCTATTAAAAACATAATTTCATTTAAAAAATATTCCAACTTTTCATGTTTTTTTTTCTTCATTTACCAGACTTTTCTTTCATAATTGCCGTAGAAGAGATGCTGCCTAGAACACCACTCTGTGAGGACAAACTCGAGGGCAGGTTTCCCAGTGGGACCTGGGACATTAGTCAGGAAATCCAAAACAGCCGACATATTACTGATCATTAGCTGGGCAAACACCATCACTAAACTCTACAACATACATAAAGATATTCATTGTCAAATTAAGCTGACATATTACTGATCATTATCTGGGCAAACACCATCACTAAACTCTACAACATATGTTAAAGCAATGACATGCAGGTGACTCTCCATCTCTCTAAATTCAAAAAACCTTTAAAAAAGTTCCAAGAGTTGGAGGGGTTCGACAAATCAAAAGGCAAAAGAAGACTGGAATTTTCAGGTTCAATCATAATCGTTCTATTATAATATTTACAGGAAATAATATTTGAAAACATTCTGGCACATTTTCATTCAAATTTCACTTGTTATTCACTTGATTTAAACATTAAAGATCATAACTTGATAAAACAGAAAGAAAAATCTTTCAATCATCATTACTAGGCTATGATGGAATTTGCATGCCAGATCTACTCGTGTTCACTTGGTACTTTGATCATCAGATTGCTTGGTACGCTGTTCAAGTACTGAGATTGAATTTTGTGTGATGGTTTCCTTACTACGATTGTGTAGAAATAGGATAAAGGTTCAAAATTTATGAGAAATTTTTGACATGCCTCTAAACTTAATTCTCAAAATCATCATCTCACTGGCTATCAAGTCAAAATCAGTCATGAACGACTATCTTTGTTTTAAATTGACCAATCACCCAATTATTAAATTAACAACCCTTGGATGACACATACAGGGTTCGAAATTAACTTTTGTAAGCACTAGTCCGTCGGACTAGTGACTTCCACTTTTCACTAGTCCGTAAAGCATTTGACTAGTCCCCCTTTTGTCTTACGAAAATGATAACATACCCGTGATAAACCTTCTTTGTAACTTTAACCCCCCTCGGAGGCTCCCCCGATCTACTTTTATGAGATAAATTTTTTTTTTTTTAAATACAAAATTAAATTCTAATTCATCTGTAGATACAGAAAAAAAATGCAAGGTATCAAACATATATTTTTTTAATTACATCATTATAAAAAAAATTACTTAAACTTAGCAGTGATATACTTTTTAAAAAAATTCCTCAGAAATGTCAACAAACGGAGTATCAAAAAGTGTCAATAAACAATTAAAACAATGAATAAATGTTTTATGAATTGATTGTATCACTGAGTAAGAAAGAAAAAAAATGGAGAAAAAGGTTGGTTGACATTTTGGGGGGGGGGGGGGGGGGGGGGGGCATTGCTGGTATTAGTCTCACCCCTGACCTAATTGTCTGTAATATTACAGATTGACAATTATCTTGATAACTGTGATCTGTGTGTGATTAGAAAATTTTCTAATAATGTTTATTGCATTTGTATCCTTACGAATCATCTGTGATCATTTACCTGATGTGTTGCAACAATAACTTATTATAAATTTTTATTGCTTGAAGATACGATATATCAGTATAATTAAATATGTTACGATTTTGGGAATTTGCAGTCCGTAAAAACAGCTTTAAAACAAGGAAATTTTAGGAAAATTTTTTCAGGAAATTTTCAATACATTTATTATTTAAATAATTTACATAGACGATTTTGTAAATGCCAATAATAATGCATGGCAATTAACCTCTTCCTGACGGCCACTTTCTCGTGAAAATCTGTTGTTTTAATTTTTTGGCAAAATCGTCCCTGGTAATGCTAGCAACTTCAGCTCTAAAGCTTGTTATTGTTTACATTGTTTTAATGACTCTTTTTCTTAAACAGGCATTCATTTGAAAGAAAACATTGAGAAAAAAACTAAGATTAAATTTATAGTCAGATTTTTCACTAGTCCATATGGACTAGTGCTACATGAACTTGACTAGTCCAACACAATTTTTACTAGTCTCAGACTTACGGACATGAGCTAATTTCGAACCCTGACATAGGTGTTGTGTCACCTATGTAAACACCCAACTGACATATATATCCACTCTAGCTCCATGCATTCACCGTTATCTGGGCATGATTGGCATACTGATTGGCATACATGCACAATCAACATCCAGATTGAAGTATAAAAAAAACAAAACAATGAAATCTGTGTAACAGAACCCAGGTATTGGTAAGGGTGCAACGATAAACCGTTTGACGGTATATCGCAGTATATTTTTCCACGGTTCAATTCACGATACGCTAAACTGATATCGCGGTTCGGTTCAATCGGTGCAGAATTATCCGAATCGTCCGTTTTGTTTCCTTTTTTACAATTTCAAAATGGCTCATCTCCAGCATCTTATAGACCTCAGATTTAACACTGAGAAGGACTTAATGTGATTATATGTTATAGATGTTAAGACAAATGATAAACCCTTTAGATCTAAACGTATTCTTTGGTAATACACGATATTTCATCACGTGTGTATTTCGATGAGAATTCACTATCTTGTTGACTAAAACGTGTTAACACGAGAAATATGACAACTGGTTTTCTACGTAAATAAAAGGAATAAAAGAATGAATGTCTTCCTTTTTCATTCCAATTTAAAAAGATTATTAGGAAAGGTCCCCGTAGTTCCCTGTAAATGTTCATCATTGGTTTAGAATATTGTCAAAACTCAAAGATGTACCCAATAATCCAATTCAAGTTAACAAAATTTTACTTATTATCAAAAAAATATGAGCATTTTATATAACCCTGTCAAGTTAAAGAAAAAATATGGTGACAAACTTGAAAGACTTTTTAATCTTGTCATGTATCGCGATACGTATCGTATCGTGAACTGAATACCGTGATACGTATCGTATCGTGAGGTTAGTGCATCGTTGCACCCCTAGGTATTGGTTTGAAGGAGAGAAATTATCTCGAGATCAGAAATTTGAAATTAGGAGTAAATTTGCTTAGTTATATAAAGGACAAAAAAATGGGACTGGGGCTTTATTTCAAGAGATCAAGAACTTTGACAGATCGGAGATCGAGCCATCTAGAGTCACCTGTATTCATTGTTAAATCTAAAGCCAATTTATTACTGATTATCAACTGGGTAAACACGATCACGAAACTCAACATACAGGTGTGTATATAACAGCCATAAAATAACAAACATTCCAAGTCTACAATGTACATTTATTTGGCTAATTTAAATAGGCTTACCTCCATCACACTCAATGTTTCTGCTTGCTGCATCTTGCTTAGAACAAGTCTTAACATGAGGTCAAGGTTTTCTCCTAGCTGGTTCCCGACTTTTGTTATCACAATAGAGACCAGCCTACCCACAAAGGAAGCAGTGTGTTCAGAGGTTTTGGGATCTAGCAGTTTTGATATCACCTGCATGATGTAGTATAGGCCATTGTTACCTGAAATAAATTTTATTGCTACCATGTACTAACTTGTCCATAATACAAAAGAAGGGTTGTAGACATCTCCTGCAGCAAGTGCTAAGACTGAAGATAAAAACATTTAATCCAGTAAACTTACATAAATGGGCAAAATATTTTTACACCTGTGGTACTGTACTAATTCCAGTCAAACCTCTTAATTTCAAACTTGATGGGAGAAAAAAAACTTTGGAGATATCCAAAGATTTGAGATATCAAAGTTACTAAACATAAAAATAAAAGTAGTTGGGATTCCCAACTTGCTTCAATATATTTTTATTTGAGATACCAAGGTCTGACATTCCAAAGTTCTACTTGCATTTAAACAAATAGCTTGTATTTTGCACTAGTTGTCTACCTTGTTCATCATGCCAAGCCATGACCTGCTCTAACGCTACAGAGAGAAATGCTCTCAGACACTCTCCTCCATTCTGCATGGCAGCGTTATCATCCGTGTGTAGCGTGCAGTGAACTACGGCAGGGAAGCCCGTCTTAATCATGGCTTCTGAAAGTGGACCTTTGTGTGCTCTGACCATGGTCTCCATCATTTCTAACGATACCTGAAATTTCAAACATGTTATTATAATTTGAAAACATAACACTACCCTCCTTTAATCATACAGCATATATGTGTACATCTTAAAAGATGGCACCAAAAACATTTCTCAGCATTTCATGTAGCCTATTCAAGATAGAAAAGGACACTTATAAACTATACAAACAACAAGACTTGCCCGGGAAGGTCTAATAACAGGTGGAGGCCAATGCCCCCGAATTGACTTTTTTTTTTAATTTAGAGGCCAAGAGAAAAAACTTTTTTTAAAAAATATATCACAGTATGATGCTATGATAATGCATACATCTCTGACAACAAAATTTAGGAAAATATAAGAAAAAAAAGAATTGATAGGAATTGACAAATCATTGTACACGCATCTGACACTGACTTGTGGAAATGATTTTTCAGTTTCTAACACAGCATGTATTTTGAAAAATTATATTTAAACCGAAAAACACCAACAAGAGGCCCAAGGGCCTTAACGGTCACCTGAGTATGATACAACAATTTCAAGGATGCATAGAGTATAAAATGAACTGAAAGGTGAAGCTTTGTTGCCCAAAAGCAAGAAAAATAGGGTGATCATGATCAACAAAGTAATTGGTCTTAATATTCATTAACAGTTCATAAATTAGGCTCTAATCTGTTCCCCATTTATCACTATCACTATACAGTATATTAACAAATTATCAATGCTTCTGTACTATTTTAATCCTTTGTTGAAATCTCTTACATTGGCATCTCTTGGTCTTTGATGAATATTTAATAAGACAAGTTATTTTTGTCTCGTTTTTATTTATCTACTACTTACAAGTCTATCTGATCATTAAAACTATGAAAGTACTTTTTGTATTATACAATAAAAGTTTTTGCATAATTCTCTTGTTCTATTTACCTTTCAAGTACATTATTTACAGTGATAAATTATCAAAAGTAAATGGCAAAGGGGAATAACTCCTCTCAGTAGAATACAAACTAATAGAGCCCTGGCCAGGACCAGAACACTTGACCAAATGGTCCAGATGTTCAAAAATCTGGTAAAAATTCCCTTCCTTATAAAAACTTTTACTCTGTTTGCCTCAGATATGCCCAGGTGCGGAGAAGATTTTTAAATAAATAATGCATTTTTACTACAGATTCACTATATTATCAATAGAGCCCCCCCCCCCAACCCCCAAAACACCAGAGCTTCTGACCCTGGGACCATATGTTTGCTCATCATCACTTTGTTTATCTGCTTAACACTGAGGAGCAGACAGGATTATTTAATAGAATTAATGCATTTTCACTAAATTATCAAGAGCTCCACCCTCACACCAGCACATCTGACTCAGGGGTCATGAAATTCACTACTCTGGAAGAAGCACACTTGCTCATCATAACTATACACTTAGCTTCTTTGCTTTTTTAACCAGAAAAAGAAAAGAATATTTTCAAAGAAATTTTCCTTTTTCACTTTATAATCAATAGAAGCCCCCCCCCCCCCCCCCCCCCTCACCAGAACCCTTAAACCTGGGGTCATAAAATTCACAATTTTGGAAGAGGCATCCTTGTGTATCATAACAATGTACTTTAGTCTGTTTAAGCAATACCCAGGGGCAGAGAAGAAGATTTTCAAAGAAATAATTCACCTTAACTATAGGATCTATATAGCCCCGCCCTAGCACCAAAACTCCTGTCCCCGGGGCCATGAATTTCACAATTTTGGAAGAGGCATCCTTGCTTATCATAACAATGTACTTAGTTTGTTTAAATAATACCCAGGTGCAGAGAAAAAGATTTTTAAAGAATTAAAACATTTTCACTTTATAATCAATAGAGCCCCGCCCTAACACCAGAACCCCTGATCCAGGGGCCACGAATTTCACAATTTTGAAAGAGGCATCCTTGATTATCATAACTATGTATTTAATGTGTTTCAATAATACCCAGGAGTAGAGAAGAAGATTTTCAAAGAATTAATGCATTTTCACTATATAATCAATAGAGCCCCACCCTAACACCAGAACCCCTGACCCAGGGGCCATGAAATTCACAATTTTGAAAGAGGCATTCTTGCTCATCATAACTATGTAATTAGTTACTGAATTTAATACCCAGGAGCAGAGAAGAAGATTTTCAAAGAATTAATGCATTTTCACTATATAATCAATAGAGTCCCGCCCTAACACCAGAACCCCTGACCCAGGGGCCATGAAATTCACAATTTTGGAAGAGGCACTCTTGCTCATCCTAACTATGTACTTAGTTAGTTTATTTAATATCCAGGAGCAGAGAAGAAGATTTTCAATGAATTAATGCATTTTCACTATATAATCAATAGAGCCCCGCCCTAACACCAGAACCCCTGCCCCTGGGGCCATGAATTTCACAATTTTGGAAGAGGTACTCTTACTCATCATTACTATATACTTAGTTAGTTTATTTAATACCCAGGAGCAGAGAAGAAGATTTCCAAAGAACTAATGCATTTTCACTATATAATCAATAGAGCCCCGCCCTAACACCAGAACCCCTGGCCCTGGGGCCATGAATTTCACAATTTTGGAAGAGTCACTCTTACTCATCATAACTATATACTTAGTTAGTTTATTTAATACCCAGGAGCAGAGAAGAAGATTTTCAAAGAAATAATGCACTTTCACTATGTGATCTATATAGCCCTGCCCTAGCACCAGAACCCCTGACCCTGGGGCCATGAATTTCACAATTTTGGTAGAGGACTCAATGCTTATTACAATGATGCCAACAGTTTGACTGCTTGATGTCCAGGAGTAAAGAAGAAGATTTTTAAAGATTGCATTAATTTTGGTGGTTTTAGCCCCACCCCTCAGGCCCCAGGGGGGCAGGGACCATGAAATTCACAATTTTTGTTCCCCTTCACCCATAGATGCTATATGCCAAATTTAGTTGAAATTGGTTGAGCGGTTTCAGAGAAGAAGCTAAAAATGTTCAAATGTTAACGCACATCGCACGACGCACGCCGACGGACAAAAACGGATAGCAATAGGTCACCTGAGTGACTCAGGTGACCTAAAAAGTTGTAAAAAATGCTGATTTAGAGATCAAAGGACAGGCCAAGATAGGTAGTCTCCGTTGATATGGTATTTCATTGAAAGGTAACATTTTCCATGTCTACAAGTTTAAACTGTGATGCTCTGATCAGCCATTCAATGAAGAATACTGATAGCAACAACTGCGATGAAGTTACAAATTAGGAAATCATGTATGCCCAATTTTACAGAATATATGCAGTTTGCACATGGTCCAGCACTAAGGGTGAAACGTTTACTGAATCTTGTATACATTTAAACGGACAGCAGTAAACGAAACGGTACCGTTTAAACGGGAGAATATTTTGTGTTGAATTTTAATGGCTACTTACTCATGAAACTCTAATTTAATAAACAATTCTTTAAATTTAATGTAAATATGAGTTGTTATTACTATTTATTTGTTGGTCCTTATGATGAAAGAATTTGAGGCGCATTAAACTCATTCACTTTCTACAATGTCATCCAATATTGCATTGGTTTGTTTGGCTACATACTGGATGTAGAAAAAGCTTTGTAAAATTAAACTACAAAGATGGATCTTTTAATCCCGAATTACGTATAACAAGACCTGCTGACTGTATTGAAAAACTTTTCAAAGACTGGTGAAAATGTATTATATTTATTTAATCAAAATTTATCAAGTTTTATATTTCAAAAGTCATAAAATATCGCTAGTATTCGCAACTCGGAATTAAATATGTTATAGACCCCATCGTGTTTTAAATATTTTTGTTTAATATTTTTCCGGTATTGATTAAAACAGAAAACAATTGCTTATCAAATGGTCAAAGACAGTGTTTCTTTGGTAAATATGAAATAAAACAACTTGTTTGTATTAAACTTTATTTTTGATAGACATTGATAATGACCTTCGTGTAAACGTTTACTCAATCTGTAAACATTTAGAGCATATAATCGAAATGTCGCCGTTTACACGTGCAATCGTTTTTTCGCCCTTATCCAGCACATCATTATTGCATTGGGCACACCATACGCAGCCCCTTCCCAGGCCTGCAGGGATTTATCAGCCTATTTTGGGAAACGCCATTTTTGGGGAATTGGGAAAAAATTATTGGCTATTTGATGAAATTGGGAAAAATAAAAAAAAATCTTGCTTACATCATGTATTCAGATGTATTTCATTTAACATTTCTGCATGAACTCTAATTTGGGCAACTTATAAAACAGACAATTAAATCATGATTCAACTTCATCATCAATTGGTCATACAAGATCAATTATCAGAATAATAGACTTATACCACTAAATATGACTTCAATGAGAATAAAGTATTTATGCAACTTAGGGTAGTTTATGTGTGCATAAATCTGTTTCTGGAGATTAATTAAACCTCCTGCAAAAAATAATACTAAGCTCCATTTTAATATTTAAAAATGCAATGAAAATATATTTTTCTATCTGAAATAATGCCTACAGTTCTTACCATTCACTTGTAGATCAATTGATTAGGTGGAAATAACTTAATAAATCTATATTATCACACAATATCACCATTTTCAGAAAAACAGAGGAAATTCGGATTAAAAGTCAGCAATGTTTTACAATGTTTTTAAAAACATGTTATGACTGTAGTTTGCTAAATGAGTTAAACAGAGGGAAATTACAAACAATCTGACAATTTTACTTAGTGTTTTCCCAAGTTAATTAAATATAAAAGCATTGTTCACCAATTGGGAAAAAATACTGCCAAATTGGGAAAAATTGAATTTTTTTTTCAATTGGGAATGGGGCTGAATTTCGGCCCCTGAGAAGGTACTGATAAATCCCAGGCCTGGCCTGCCTCATTGGTTTGCATTCTTTACAATACATACATATAGAGTACCAACAATACAAAGTTACAAAGAGATGCAAAAACCCTTAAATACAGTACAAAACAAGAAATAACTCCAAAGTATTAAATTTCCTTCATGAACCTGATAATTTTAAATAAATAAGAATTGATGCAAATGCTTGTCAATCTTCACTTTTAAAATTAAACAAGCTACTGGTCAATATTTTCTCACAAGGAGGAACATAATAGTCCCCGTCTTAAATCAAGCATTTTGTGAATAAAGTTTAGCTTATATATGAAAACAAGAAGTCTGAAATTTATTTCATCAAAAGATCACCAGTAATTGGTTGAAAAGCTCCAGTTCATTAGAACATCAAACAATTAATATATCTAGCAAGCAACAAACTGATACAGAGGTATATAGATATCTTAATATTCTCAGCATTACTATGGTTGTTTTTTTTTTCAAGTGAATAAATGAGATATCACTTATACAATGCATTTGAGTGCAAATTTATTCACAATTTTAACTTTCAGTACGCAGAGACATGCTTACAATTATGCCACACTGAACTGTCAAGCAGCGATATGTTGTCCATTACTTACAAGAAACAAGAGTTTCCTTTCATTTCCAGGAACCACAAAGTTAAGGGTGACATCTTGTTTCTTAGCAACAATCAAAAGTTCAAACAATCAGCAGATCTGATCTAAACTTCATTCCTAATCTTTTTCTATCTAACTGACTTACTGGTGGCAGACTGACGGGAACTTTATCCGGAGCCTGAAGAATACTGACGAGAGTGGGGAGGAGTCGATGTTCTAGGGGACCAACAGTGCTCTCGTTACTTGCCAACTCCTTAAAGATATCCTGTACAATGTTCACAACCACTGGGTCTGAAAATTTATTAACATATTTCATTGATGACTCAAGTTATCCTGACAATTCTAATATAATAGTTTTCATATGTACATGTTTATTATTTTAAAAACCCAAGCAGTTGGAAAAGTTTTCAATGCAGAAGCATGGAAAAGTTTATTTCTCATGAATAATCATTACACTAACTGATTCTAAAATGCATAGCTCAAAGGATATTATACTCCAAGTATGAAAACCCTGCTTCACAAACATCTAACATGACTTTCTTTAAAAAGTTCAAAAGTGGGAGAGCAAAAATAATGATTTCTTACATGAAGATGCATCTGATTTACCATTTTGATGGGCCCGATAAGACTGATTATACCTTGTAGATGGCAGTTGTTGTAGGGTAACCTACCTGATGAAAATTTCAGAAAGACTGCAATGGTCAGTGGAGTAACTTTGCTTTCCACAGTGGCTGTAAATGCCTTGTCAACCTGGGGAAAAAAATTAAAATGAAAAATTGTACAATTTCAAAACTAGAATTTTCTAGGTTCCCACTTTCTGTATATATATATACAAGTAAATACGAATCAATAATTTAAAATTTGTAAATTTAGGATCTTTTTCAACTGGTCAAGATTAATAAACATTGTTTTGGGGAACACAGCACATGTCAATATTTACAATGATATCACAAACAACATAAAAAAAACTAACTATGCTGTGCTAATCATCTTGCCTTCCAAGTGAGTTTACTTACTGATAAAAGAATAGACATTGTTTCTAGACACAGGGATAAAACATCTGATGAGAACTGTGTGGCTATTGAGAGGAGGCCATCCAGAGTGTTGGGTAGGAATGGAATGAGGTATTGGGTTGTGTTAGCAGACTTGAGGTGTTGGCAGTAACTGTACACAGCTCTAATGGCTGAAATTCTGATGGTGGGAGGTTGTGTGGCATGTAGACCACCCACTGTAGACTGAAGGAACCTAGAATAAGATAAATACTGTAGATCACCAAATATTCCCGACACCTTATTTTTGAGAGATGGGTATTTGGCATTTCTATGCGAGACAAAATTTTCATGAATTCTGACTACTGTCCTATATACATGTAATCTTTGCTAATAAAAATTTACCCAAGAAGGAAATTTTTGCAAGGAGACAGCCTCGTGTCATTACGCGAAAATAAAGTTCTCACGAATAAAAAGTGATTTACAGTATGTATCACTGAATGCAATATATTATCATTTTAAAATCAAAATAAAAAAATTTTTTTTTGCTTGGTTGTATTGTGTTATAAATTAATTGTAATTAAAAATTGACACATGCAAATTGTACCGTATATATTCACCTACAAGTCGGTTGTATTTTTTGAGATTATTTTGAAGTGATTTACCATTGACCTGCTTATAAGTCGATACAACTTTTTTGCCAGAATTAGTTTAGGGATCGAAATTAACTTTTTTGACCACTAGCAAATTTTAGCAATACTGAACTTTCACTAGCATTTTTTTTTCTTCACATAGTACTCAATTAACTAGGAATTATTTGAATAATTTCATAGAAAACTTATTTACACCTTGTGAGTTAATTCAGGTCGTTTTATACAAGAGGGATGTGCAATTAAAAAATTCAAGCACTAGCCCACAGACTAGTGCCAGTAGTGGCAGCAATAAAATTACTAGCCCCAAGTAAAAAGTTACTAGCTCAAACATAGGGGGGAAAAGTAGCAACAATGAAAGAAAACAAGCATTCTGAGAGTATTGCATAAGCAATACTAGTCCCCTACTGGCAAGTGTAATCTGGTTCCCGTTAAGAATTGAAAATGCCATAATTCCGTCAGAAATCAATGAAGCAGGACGAAATGCAAATTTGATCTATAACTAATCAAGGTGAAGTCACATACCAAAAATCAGCTCAATATCTGAAAGCGTTTAGAAGAAAATTGCGGAAAACCCTTAAAAACTGAAAAGGCTGTAATTCTGTCAAAAATCAATGAAGCGGAACGAAATGCAAACTTGGTCTGTAACTCATGATCAAGATACACTCACATACCAAAAATCAGCTCAATATCTGCAAGAGTTTAGGAAAAAAGTGCGGAAAACCAAGTGGGACAGACTGACAGACAGACAGAGGGACAGACAGACAGACGGACGGACAGACTCAGAGGAAACCTATAGTCCCCTCCGGTTTCACTGGTAGGGGACTAATTAAACAGTAGTTTATCGTTGAGAAAGTCAGGGTCTTAAGGTCATTCTTTTTAAAATTAAAGTTTAATTCTCTCTAGAAAAATTTAATCGTATATAAATCAATTATTTTGATTGAAAAAAAAAAATGAATTTAAAAATAAATTATCATCCTTTTTTCTGGTCATTGCACTATCTCATTTAAATTGAAGCGAAAATCTGAAATCATTAAATACACTGTTAAATATATTTTTTTGAAAATCACATAACACTTTTCCTCTAGTTGATTAAATGATCATAAATATCTACATGTATTTACCATAAACAAGGAAACGGAGGAAATTCGGATTAGGAAAAAAACGATCGTTTTAAGAAGTAAGTAAGTCAAGTAGTACTGCAAAATGGATGAGATTATGGAGATTTACGAACTATATAAGAGAATGCTACCTGGATATTTTTCACTGTTTGGGAATTTAATAGCAAAAAGTGAATAAAAATACCTGTAGTGCTGTTCATGTATTACATGGGTATAATTTTAATTTCTACTAGCTCGAGGGGCTACCTCTGTGCATAAAATCACTAGCCTGACCCCCAAAAATGGTAGCCCCAGGCATGAGGCAATGCTAATTGGACATCCCTGGAATTAACCGAGAAAAAAAATCCGAAAAAGTTCGGTTTTGTTTTAACTCGCAAAAGTTGGCGACCACAAGTTGCTTTTAACTGGCAATTTCTGTTTTTAATTCGCATTTAGCAAGTATTTCCCGTTAATTTCGACCCCTGCAGTTGACAATTTTAAATCAATGCTCTATTGTTTTAACCTGGTTTCGATTAATATTTTTAGAAATGATGCCGATATTAAATTTTCAATCATTAAGAAAAATACACAATGCACACTTAAGATAAAAAATATAGTTATTAAAATATGTAAATACTCGTACTTTATGTATAATCTTACAATAAATAAATGATATAACATATCCAGACTTGGTTGAAAGATAATCATGGGAAATATTTCTAAAATACTACATTTCACTGTTCAGAAAAATACTAATCTTTTTACGACTCGCCTATAAGTCAGACATAAACTTTTGGGCCAAAATTTAACTCCCAAAAAAACGACTTATAGGCGAGTATACACAGTAATATACAGATCAAACAGCAATAACACAAATTTGACACCTAAAACAAAAAATTTCCCACATGTTTTAAAACTACATTGTATTTTCCCTCTTCAGTATGACTACTAATTATTATTACAATTAATATACACAATATTTTTGAAAAGACTGTACCTTAACATTACTCAACACTTCCATCACTCCTCCTTTTGGATTAATCTTAATTTATCTGTTCTGAACTTCAGCATTTATTTTAATATTTCTGATGCATTAACCTGAATTTACCTGTTCAGCAGTTCTGGAGATGTGGAGGTGACCTCAGTATACCGACTAGCTGTCCACAAACTTCTCCCAACTAGGAATGGTGAAACTAAAACCACAAATATCACTTATTCATTACAAAAAATTTAAAGTCTCTTCTTTACTTAATCCTGGAAATTTTTAAGGTATTGCAATAATTTTCAAACAGCAGTAAATGAAATATAGTGAAACTATTATCTAAACTAAATAAGATATTTTTAAATATCATCCATATTTAACTTATACTAACTGCAGTAGTTCATATCAGCAAGGACTACAGATTGGAGGAATCCGGTGATGTCAAACTGGACTTTCCCGGACTGTATCGACTCTGTAACCAAGTCTGTTACACTTCCCATAGCCAACATACAGGATTCATGGACTTTCCACCTGTACAAATTAATAAAAATTTTCAAATGTCCCATTTAACTTTTATTAAAGTCAAGTAATATTAACCTATCATTAAAGCGAAGTCTATATTAATTATCTTATCTTAATAATCTTAGAAAGCCATGCCCCACCAATTCTGATCGTTGGCGTTCTTGAGAGGTTCCACTGCAGCCAGATGTTTAGTGACGGCCTGACAGAGTGCAGGTGCACTCTCCTCTGGAAACTCACTGCATATTGACTACAAATTCACACAAGATTCACACTTAAATTATTGAGACTACATTTTTTTTTTTACACATGAAAATGTTTCTTTGTTTACATAGCTGTACAAGGGATTTGATTTAGCACATTGAGAACTATCCACTTACTAACAAGATGTCCTGTGCCGATATCCTGACTGAATACGAAAAAGAATCATCATCTTCATCCTCTACAAACTGGTCTGGGCTGTTAGTCCACAGCCTCACCTAATTAAGATACATTCCTAGGAATGATTATTAACGACTTAACCATTGCACAGTACAGATTTACATCATTTCAACCATTTGTACATGTACAAGCATTTATAAAACTTGTATAATGTTACAGGAATATGTATTACACTTATCTTACACAAAACAAATTCTGTTACCTGATCATCTGTCATCTGCATGTAGAGAATCACATAATACAGAATGTCATTAACAGAACTCTTCACCGTGCTGCGGAACTTTGGAGTGTCAATAAGAACATGGACAAATTCAAACACTCCATATACCAGACTCTCAAAACCAAGGACTTCACCTGCTCAAAAATATAGTCACTTAATTCTATGTAATTCTCATTGTATCAACTATCAGCTCATCATGTTAAGTGTGTGTTAATCTGACTACAAGCTTTCTTAACTAGACGAGTAAATTTGAAATACATGAACAAGTTTTTATCCCACTTCATAAAAAACATCTTTATCAAAGTGAAAATAATCAAATCTGAAAAAAAAATTAAATCTGCAAAACTTCATGCCAGGTCCAAATAATCAATGTTTAACTCAGTATATCATAACACCTGACCTCACCTACATAATCCTCTGTAAAAGCAATCAATGTTATAAATTTATCTATCTGCACTAGTATCATAAATTAATGTATATGTATTTCAATTATTAATGAAGAATAATTGTAATAAAAATATGAAATTCTTCATTACTCACCATCAGAATCAACAGGGTCATCCGATTCTTCTAAGCTATTCACAACTGTCCTGACATAACTGATTCACATTGAAGGAAAATATCATTACTATACCCTGCAAAAATACACATGTAAACACCAGACGCAGATTTTAGAGAAGACTTGATTCTCTGTAATTGGGGCCATTCAAAGGCCCCATTCCTAATTCAAGAAAGGTACCTTTTTTCCTATATTGCATGTGTTAATTTTCCCAATTAAGACTTTCCCTCCAAAATTAAAGAACATATAAATAGACATTCAAATTACTCCATTCTTCAGAACAGAAATTCAGTTGATAACCAAACATGTAAAGATTTTAATGGAAAATGATTATCCTAGAATTCCCAGAAAGGTCACTAATTTTCCCAACTTTCATGTCCCCAGCCCAAGTCCCAAAAAGTGGTGTGAGAGCCCTATCTTTAACAAAAAATCCATGACAATTACATGTACATCATTACATGTATCAACTTGGAAACTTGGCAAACAGAAGTAATAAAAACACCAATACAGAATTTGACAAAAAAGTCACAAGTTGATTGAATTTGAGAACAACTATAACAGTTGAACTTCGGTATTCTGAACACTGATATCTCAATGTCATAGATATGTTGAAGTTCTAACCACTTATTATTGAAGTATTTTACCTATGATACATGTATATCAAATCCTCTGATATCTGAAAGTTTTTTCTCTAAAAGTTTTTTCTCGGTCTCATCGAGTTAGAGATAACAAGAAGATTTGACTGTATCTAGTTTTTTTTGTTTTTTTTTTTATATTACACAGAAGGATACAAGTCAGCACTGTGTGTAAATATCATCCACACTGGAGGCAAAATATCACCAATGTACTGGGACATCAGCTTGGGAAAATTCTTCACTAGGGTTGTTATAGCCTAACAATACAATATATATACATTAATTTAATTCATGTACATTGCTCTCTACATTATAAATTAAACTGAAGAGGGCGATTTCAACTTAATCCTCAAAAATATATTGTACTTCTCTGTTACACACTTCATTGACACTAAATTCTTTCAAAAGTACTGTCAGAAATTAATGAATTAAAATATAAAACTTTAAAATGTAAAAAAAAAAACCTTGACAATTTCCATTTTAAGTCCACTGTCTGAGGTAAGACCATCTGGAACCTGGAGGGCCTCTATAAAGGCCTTGGTGAACTGGGGGATAGAGGGAAACAACAGCTGCTTGGCAATACCCTGAAGATTGAAGAGGTTCAATAAATTTGATTTTATATGGCTCGTTTTTTTTTAATATACATGTACTATCTAAACAAGAAAAGTTATACTGTCCTAAAAGTGACCGAGATATACTTCCTGCAAAACATAATTATACTGATAGAGCAAAGCAATATTTTTTTTTTAAGAATATACTATCAAGAGTCCTTATCTCCTGGCAAACCCATTATGGGTAGATTATTGTTAGATACCCCTCACAAAATTCTTTTCATTAAGATACAACTTTCCCCAAAAAAATTTACATAAAAACACTTTGATTTTACATTCCTACCCTCTGAATCTCTGCCATGGTTGCAATCATTGCTGCACAAACGTTGAAGATGCTCACAGCTCGTGATCTGGTCCTGATGCCGTAGGTCTGAAATTAAAGAAAATTAAATGTTATATGGATACATTACAGCTGGTTGTTATCACAATATAAGCCTTAAGCTTCCCTAAACTACTGGTGTTTAATTCAGACTGAAAATATTAACAATGCTACCTTTAAAACATTTCAAGAAAAGAGATAAAATGTTTGAAAACCACAGTCTAAACAAGTCTACTATTTTAACTGGACCCCTGCTGTGAAGATCTGATCTGTTGCATTATGCACTTTACCAGACCAATTTACAAACTTACAGCTAAGACCAAAATATATTTTTGCAAATATTTTCACTCATGACATCAATTAAAAAAAGGTACATAATCTAAGTATTTTTTTTAAAGAATTTGGAAAATTTTCTTAAAGAAATCTTTATTATAAAATATTAATTTCGCAAGATGTTAGAAACAGCCAAAATCGTTAGCCATGTCTGTTTACTCTACAACTTTACAGGGCTCTCGATTCTTTATATTTGGGGCCGTTCAAAGGCCCCATTCCCAATTCAAAAAAGGCACCTTTTTTCCAAATTGACTGTGTTAATTTTCCCAATCTATCACTTCCCCAAATATTAAAGAACATTTAGTAAGATATATAGTTACTAAACTTGTAATTCATATTTCTCTGCATAACAAAACAGAAATTTAGTTGATAACAACTACCAGAAACTCAATATATCATGAATTTAATGTATAATGTCTAGTTATGATTTTCCAAAAATTACCCAAAAGGTCGCTAATTTTACCAATTCCTTTGGCCCCGGCCCCAGTCCCAAAAAGTGGTGTGAGAGCCCTGACTTTAAAAATTATAAGGTCAAAAATCGATTTTTTTGCTTTTGGTTTTTTGTTTGTTTGTTTTTTTTTTTGCATATATCATTACTTTGTGAAGCTATATTTCTTACATCAGCTTGGATGAAGATTTTGTACATTTCAGGAAGAATAACTGGTGCCACCTGTCCCATCTGTGTGTCTGTAACATCCTGAGTAAACTCTGAAAATACAAAAAAGTAATACATGCTCCAAGATTTATACGAAATCAAAATAACATAAATTTCAATCACATCAAATTTATGACTAAATCATTTTCTGCACTATTCCTAAGATCTTGCTTTTATTTTCAAAATGTATCAGAAATTACCAAGTTCATTAGTTGTCCGAACATTTGAATCCCTGAGTTAACACAATTATATTACCTGACAAAACCCTCATAGATCCATGAACAGCATTAGGATCACCACTCGTTAAAGCCTGCATCAGGATCTGGAATAACTCCGGCCATACCTCTGGCCAGTCCCAGTGTGCTATTGCGGACACAGCGTAAGCAACACTTGACCGCACCTTGCTGATAGACTCTTTTAGACCCACGGGTAAAATCCTTCTGATTTCAGCTTTTGCCTAAATCAATAATAATAATCAATACAAAATCAATTAACTCTGCTAGATGTATATCAAAATGACATAATTTATCATTTTAGTGTTATTCTTACGATTCAAAATTATGGAATGATAAAAGTTGGGTTTCTGATAGCATTATATTTACTAAAGGTTGTTTTAATTAAAATGAGCTCATGTAACATTTTGGTTGTTGTTGCAATTAAAATTCCTAAAACTGTCCAGGGTTTGACATTAACTTTTCCGAGTACTAGACCAGTTGGGCTACTTCCCCTAGCCCAGACCATAAAATTGCTAGCCCTGACCAAACATGCAAATTTAATTCTTATGATCGCCAATTTTAATTATGTAATTCTGAAATTGTTTCTCGTGCGTGACGAAATTTTGACAGACTAGCCAATTAAGTCTGGTTCATCATGACATGCGAATATTGTAAGCACTGAACTCTAATAAAGATTTTTATCCTAAATATTAATAAATTAATTGCAGAATCTTTTTCAGTAACTTTCCATACCATATTCATACTGAATGGCACTAGTTTCAACCCGACTTGTCTATTACAGTCGTAACTGTATTTTCATGACCAATCTCTATCTGTGAGAAAAAGTACAATCTGCTTGCATGTGTAACGGGAGAGGAGAAAAATGCAGCGGACGAGACCGGGATTCGAACCCGGGCCCCCTGAATCTCCAGCAGGGTTGGCAAAAAACTGGGAAATACTCATATTTCTCAGGACAGTGGGAAATACTGGTAATTACCGGGAATTACTGGTATTTCCCGGGAAATACTGGGAAATAAGAAATAGCTACATATTTCATTCATATTGACATGTAGTACACCTTATTGGCTAAGATATCTACTTGGTATCACTGTCCCTGATTTAAAAAATTCTGTTTCCAAGTAATTCATTATATACAATCTTATTCTTAACACAGCATATTCATCATATACCAGTCATGAGTGTCATTTGTTTCATGCTTGAGTCAGATGTAGTCTATAAAGGTCCATGAATTGAACCCAAAGATCCCAACTGGGTTTTTTATGTAACTATTACGCGGCTAGGATAAGGCTGTCCGAAGAATGTCACAGTGTGCCAGCCATAGTAACTTCTCTGAACTACCTAGATATGACGTCATAATGGCATATGACGTCAAGTCACTGTATACTTGAGCTGATATGACGGGGAAAGTGTCATAACTTTTACATTCCTTTCACATCACATGTAGATTTTTGTTACCTTGATGTTTAATTCATGTGTCTGGATTGTTGCTTAAAGGCTGTAATGATGGTGAATATTTGCAGTATAATATCGTTATTACTTTTTCTTGTCTAACATGTATGTATTCAAACAATTGAAAAAAAGAATGTGAAATGCCCCCCAAACGTGTCTGTAGACAGAGATAAATTCTATAAATCTTATATATATTAGACTGGCACAAGTGAATAATAAGGATTAATTGAAGATATTCTGTGTGAATCTACTAGAGAAATATGTCCTCTAACTGAATTTTGCTGGGGGATCGTATGTAATTTATCCTATTTTGTATAAATTGCGATGAAGAGTGGAAAATGACTCTTTGTATGTGGGTAAGTTGAATTTCTCGTGAAATATTTTCTTATGAAATAAAATTCAGACTTGCCCCCAGCACTTTATATATACCCAAGAATACGTTTAGTTGATTTATGTAACAAGCCGTTCACAGTAATTTTGTTTTTCACTTGTGCCGATGCGATTTTTGTGCAACATTTAAGAAAATTTATAAGTGTCCGTCACGTGATCAACACAGTCATGTGACATCACAAAAATGGTTTTTTGTAATACCTTATTCAACTTTCTTTACAACTTAACTGTGTATGAATACATAGATTACAAATTGAAATCAAAACATTTCTCAATATAAAATAGTATATATTTAATGCACATTAAGCCTTCGGACATCCTTAACCTAGCTGCGTAAAGAAGGATCTAAGAAAATTCTTAAATGTAGAGTATGGCGTAAATATCAAACCTAAGAAGAAGCCTTTTAAGTTCTACTCAACGTAATTATCTCTCAAAACAGGAGCACAAAACTGTCCAGAGCAATTTGTTAAAACAACATGATTGTTTGTAATAACTACAGTGTTTATAGAAGGATTAAAACGAGCTTTTTTTGTTTGTTCTTGGATTTATAGTTAATAAACTTAATAATTTTACAAAGCTGAAAAGAAACTTGAATTGGAAAACTTCAGTTTTATACAACCAAGGAAATGTTTCAGAATGCTTGTGGATATGGGACTGGAGTAGTGATACATTCTAAATATATTAAATTGCAATTTGAGACATATTCCATATTACTCCTCTTCTGTTTTTAAGTTTATTTTATTTTTGAATTTTGTTCAAGATTGAACGATTTATAGAAATTAAAAAACTTTAACTTTGTATTTCCCAGTATTTCCCAATTTTTCCCAGTTTAGAGAAAATTTGTAGTATTTCCCGGGACGGGAAATACCGGTATTTACCACTGGTAATTCCCACCACTGGTATTTCCCGGCCAACCCTGATCTCCAGTCAGGTGCTCTACCAACTGAGCTATCTGGCCACCGGCGATCGAACCCATCTGACCGCCACATTCCTCCCTCCTTAAAGGTCTTCGGCCCCTGAAGACACCAACCCAGGCTCTTCCCTGGCAGGTCAAATGTCACTTCCAAAGCATGGCACGGCACCAAATGTAATGGGAGAGGAGAAAAATGCAGCGGACCAGACCAGGATTTGAACCCGGGCCCCCTGAATCTCCAGTCAGGTGCTCTACCAACTGAGCTATCTGGCCACCGGCGATCGAACTCATCTGACCGCCACACATGAAACGAAATATGGGTTTGATTGACGGGAAAATATAATACTTTTGAGTAATTAAAAGCTCTTACTATTTTTTTTAATAAATGGAGGGGGGAGGTAGTCGATGCACACCTCAGGTGCCCTGTGGCTAAAAATAGCGATTGTGTCATGCAGGGATTTTTTTCTTTGGTGTTTCAATTGGACAAATAAGAAAATTTCTTTAAAAATTTTTTTTAAAATGACTGTTAAACCCCATTTCAGTCTTCCAAATATATTTGGAAGACTGAAATGGGGTTTAATTGTATATAGAATATGAACAGGAGATAACATAACCGAAATACAAAATTACATGTTCTGATGTTTCTGGATCTCTGAACTTTTCAGAATGCTTGCACCAGTGAGCATCCACATACTGCCGTAGCAACACAGAAGACAACTGTCTTATTGCTAAAGGTCCTTGTGTGTCAATTGTCAATTCTGCAAGGTGTACCCCAAATTCTGCAACAAAAATAGCTCATTAGAAATGGATGGATATACTTTAAAAATTAAGAGTGTATCTTTCATGTCCAACTCTTCATTTAAATATATCCTACATGTATTTTATTCGGGTATCTAAGGTTTATATATTATATGCTCCGCCTCGATATATACAAAACTATAATAATGGCCATATAACATAAAAATACTGCGTAAATAATTTAACAGACAACTCTGGAATAAACAATCAAATTTTTATAAGAAAAAAAAGATAACTTCACAATCGTGCAATCTGACAAGGCATGGAAACACGTGCGACACAGGAATACAACTATAAAATGTCTTAACAAGAACGATCATATTTACCTTCTGTGACTTCTAATGCTTTCACCTGTTCCTCCCCTGATATTCTGACGTTATGAATTGGTGATAAAACGGCATTTAAGCTCTCTACGAGGGCTTCCTTCAACGATCGGCTGTGATCCCCTGCTCCCGCCATGTTGGTAAAAATTAAAATCCACCTATTTGGCGGGAAATTTTAGTTTCGTATTTCATTAAGTCACTTGACAACATGATATTCTTCTGCTATATCTATACTTTAACGATTATACTGATTATCTTATAATATAAACATTTCAGAACAGCCTTTCTTTGATCATGTTTTAATAAAATGATGATATTTTAAAAATTACGAAAAATTAGATAAATCGTACAAATGCATTTCGTATTAAAAATTACGTCATTTTTTACGTCATATAAAGCATGGACTCTTTGAAGATGTGTATTCTAATCCAAGTGATATTCTTTATGCTTTGTTCAGCTCAGGTTTGTTATACATATTGTCAAATTTTCTTACTTTTTTCCTGAGTCAAAATAAATGAGATGTTATACCTTGGTACATGTATGTTATGGAGGGTAATCGTGTTCAAAAATCCAGACTTGTAAGCTTGTAAGTTTGTAAATTTATCCAAACTTGTAATCGTATCAGTTTCATAGTCTACATATGTAAGCAGGTAATGCCGACATCCTAGCACGTAGTTCCGAACATATAACTTTCGATTTTGCTTATAGCTGTTACCAAAAAAGGTTTGTTTAAGAAAGTAGAATTTAAAGAGTTAAACTAAGAATTCCGAATAAAATTTAAACGAAAAGGGGCGCTACGGCCTTTTATGTACAAGTATACAGAGATCTTGGCGAACAATCTAGCTACGAAACGTAGAAACATTTCCCTGGAACATATATATAATATATTTTTCATTTTAAAAACCATATGGTATCATTCTTGCGTGTTTTCTCTCGTTTTCAGGCCCATAGGAAACATTTTCATTGGGTGGGCGTGGGGTGGAGCAGTGGGCACAAAACAAAAATTTCTTGATAAGTCCCCCCCCCCCCCAAAAAAAAAAAACCGAGACATTCCTGTTGAGGATGCACAACGATAAACTAACCTTATTTCTTTTCGTATGTATTTACCGACAAAATTATCGAGGGGACACAATCAGAAATTGCTTATTTTTATTGGTATAGTATATACTCGAACCCTCACCCCACTCGCTGCCTATACGGACCTGGTTCGGGGCCATAAAACTTAGATGAGCTCACTTTTGATCCCAGTCTCTCTTTTCTACATACTACATGTATTAATTCCTAAGTATGACAGAGAAATTTTTTTCAGTAACAAATCTCAGGGCCGAAGTATAGGAGGGTGCGAAAGGTTGGGCTCCCAACATTTTTGTGTGGAGAATAATCTTTTGCAGCTGTTTTAATGTTACAGTATTAGATTTATTAATTTATTTAATAAATCTATAATGTATTTCATATGTTTTTAAATTGTAAATATAAATGCATTATTAAATCTTTAAAGGTCACCCAAGTAGAACAGGCAGTACCTGTACTTAATCATTATTGCCTTGGGTTATGAAGGTTCTGGTCTTTGGTCTTTGGTTTGAAGTATTCACTGTTTTCATTGGTTTGGACTTTGTAAGGTTGTGTTTTATTGGTTCAGTATTTTTCCCTCCAAAAAGTTGTTTGTTATGGTCATTCTTTGTCCAGTATTTGTCCAGAGAGGGTTGTATTTACGAAGTTTTATAATTACGACCTTCTGACATTGACAGAGACAATACTTTTCTCTATTAAGGTAAGATAACATTGATATACTAATTCTAATATGATTTCTAATATTTGATTTAACTGTAAAATCTGTAATTTTGCCAAAGTTAATTCCATAGCACTAGCACAGTCAGAATCTGATTTGAGAGTCAGTAATTAAGGAGTAACTATTTTATTGAAAGTATTTTTTATTTTATATATATCTACTAGATGTTTTTATGATGATAGGTTTACTTATGTAAACTATGATAATTTGTAGTTTTATGATCTGGACATACGTGTACAGTGAGCCATATTGTGACTACAATGAATGGGAGAGGCTCAGTCCCATAGATTGGTATGATATTTATGATATTAATGTTTTTATATATTTTATGACAATCCTGAAATAGTAAAGTCTGTGTAGACATTATTGCAGCATATACATCAGTTTTTGTCGTATATATGTTTTTATATTTTTCAAAGCGTAATATTAAAAGGGGGCATTGATTGTATGTAAATCATGTACAGAGTTACCTCCCTTTATGCAGCGTATCTGTTAACCGCAGATTGTAATTACTATATTGATACGGATATATCAGAATATTTTATGCTCTGTATTTATTATTTGTTATTATGATTTTTCAGGGCATTATTCCAAATTCCTTCATTGTTCCATTATTCCAACTATCCTATGTGTTCATCTGTGAATGTAATAAATGGAGATATCAGTAGAACCCTGAAACGGACTTATTTATATTTCCATGCTCCAGATTTATAATAAGACACCGTTACATTAATATGAAAATTCATTTATAGGCTGCACCCTCCCCACTTCTTTTTTTTGTAGTATCATCAAGCTCTGGCAAATTCTTGCGTTGAAAAAAAAATGTTACTGAAAAGTTAAAGAAAGATATTCTAAACATAGCCTACCATGAAGGAGGAGTTTTGGCAGCTTATTTATTTTTTCATCATCAATTTTTTTGGACCCCCCTTTTCGGTAAACATTGATCTGCATCTATTGAGTGTTTGTTTTTTTAATATGATATATTGCAGTTACATTAGTTCTTAATAAACTGGGTCACTGATTACAGTAGTCTATTGGTTGGGCGCTAGCTTCGTAGGCCATGGGAGGTGTAAGAGTTCGCTTGTCCTAAGTTCCTAGTGCCTGCCTGCAAAATGTAAGACGTTTAACATACGTGTTGGTCATGACTATTCCTTCGGCATTGAAAATCAAATTGAACTAGTGCTAATTGTAACGGGAACCGTTACAGATGTTCCTCAAACGGCTCCCCAATCCCTTATGATGCCCCATTCCCTACAAGCTTCAATAAATTTGACAATACTTTTGTAATATAGATGGACACTTTATTTCTAAGGGTATTTCATTGGAAAACTACTCCGATATAGCCATATGGGTATTAGCCAATCAAATTTCAGCGCATATGCTTGCACATGTTTTCTACATTTTTCACATTAATTTTCTTAAAGTGTCTCACAATACATACATTTGTGTTAAATATTAAAGAATCTCATTAAAAAATAAGAGAGATGTAACCCTTTAAGTATTAACCAATCAGAATTCAGCATACGCAAATGCATGGCCTTGCATTCGATTTTGATAGTATCATAATGTAGGAGCTCTAAGTGCCTATCTATGTCGTAAATTTAATCCTGTTTTGTTGAAAACCAAGGGAGTTATAGATATTTAAAGTTTCAACCAATCAGATTGCAGTACACCTGCATGCGCGTGTTCTCAAGATATTTCCTATACAACTTGTTGTAGTACCTTATAATATATACTTATGTTCTAAATTTCAAAGTATTTTGTCAAAAAACAAAGAAATTATTGAGATTTTTGTATCAGCCAATCAGAGAAGAGCGCACGTGCATGCGCGTGAGTTCATGCTAATTTGACCATGTTATCTTATCTAGACTCCTAATATATCTTTATATTTTGAGTTTCAAAGCAATTCATCAAGAAATGTAAAAGTTACGGCTTCATCAAGTATATCAGTCATTTCACTCATTGCACGCGCGCGCACGTGCATGCATGTGCGCGCAAAATGACCTTCGTTCCGAACACCTACACAACATGCCTATTAACCCTAAAAAGGTTTCATGTCAATCGGATGAGTGGTTCTATGAGAACACTCCCGGACAAAAAAGTACCGGAGAAGAAAGTAGAAAAAAAGAATAATAATAATAAGAAGAAGAAGAAGAAACAGAGTAAAAACAATATGTTCCCAAACTTCGTTTGGGGAACATAATTATTTATCGGTTGAGAACTTAAAAACCGAAGCCCCTCTAGATCCGCGCAAGCCGTGAATAAGCGGGTAATGGTTCATGTCACGTCGTCAAATAAATAAAATTAAGAAGATAAAATAAAATTGGAACACATAAACAAAAAGTTAGAATTAAAATCCCTTATTTAGAACTAAATAATTTATTTCAATTGGAAAAAGAAGAAGTTAGAATAAAAAAGGAAAAAGATGTGGCACTGATGCGCCTCCATGGTTTCTCATTATCAAAATTCGACAATCATGTAGACTTTACATTCGTAGACTTGTCAATTGTCTTTGTGTTTTATTCAGAGCGCGGAAATATAAATTCCGGAAAACCATGTTTACAACATCAAAAATACACACATTCATAGTATAAACTCAAACGTTGTAGGATGTCGGAATTACCTACTTACATATGTAGACTATGAAACTGATACGTGTTACAAGTTTGGATTTACAAACTTACAAGTTTGGATTTACAAACTTACAAGTCTGGATTTTTGAACACGATTGTATGATCTCTATCTTGGCAGGCACTGGAACATAATGTAAATATAGTGTATGTGGAAGGATTTCCTTTTTTTTTATACACGCACATGTATACATTGTATTCTTATCTATAATTATTAGATTTACATTAAACTACCCTTGCCTGCTTTACATGTGATGTGTGCAATCTGACTAAAGATGCGATAGCGTAAATAGAGATCTGGCATTATAGTCAGATTGTGATGTGTGCAGAGTTTACAAATTGAACACCCCCGGTGAAATGTAAACTGTTTTTGTAAACAGGGCACGAGCTCTGTTTTGTTAATGTTTACGTTTCACCAGATGTGTTCAATTTGTTATACTCTGCACACATCACTGAGCACGGACTGACAATGCTGGTGAGTTGGTTTTCCTTTCTCACATTTCTACTCTGAATTTTCTGGATTATAGTTTTAATATTTTTCATTAATACATAACAAATTTTCTATTTTCTTAAGTATTAAGGATAAAGTTTACTTTGTGAAAGTGCAAGGATGTGTCAATCAAACGCGTCCCGAAATTCGTAGTTTTAATAATTTCCAGATAAAATAAGTTTTTTATTATACTTCCGGGTGAAATGCTAAAGCAACATATATGTCATGATTTTATACAGAAAATTTGAGAAAATATTAACTTCAAATCTGTGTCTAGGCCCCTTTAAATTAAAAAGCAGCTCTTGAATTAAAATTATAGAGGGCTTTTTTTATGAATGGATGGTTTAATTAATGCAACTGGTTGTACATATACACAACTAATATAAACCAACCATGTTGATACACCATTATTTGTGTACATCAAGTGCATTCAAGAACATAATATATGTATATAATTATTAATTAATATCAAAAGAGTTTACAGGTATTATAACTGATAGTTTTGTCACCACATTAGAAGCGTCATTCTTTGACTCTGGTTTATTTAAGGGCAAAAACATGTGGAAAGTCTTAAAGAAATACAAAAACAAATTGAAAAGCCGCAAAAAGACTGACCTTCCTAAATCCCTCAAACTCGAAGTCAAGAAGTTCTTTAACGAGACACATACAGAATTCATAAAGGATGAAGGCGCAGGCGCTGAATTTGAATGTGAAACAGCGGTATCTCGCTCTATATTTCGCCTATATCCCAGAGCCACCTATCGCTGGGTTCGAAATGAGGGATTTTTAACAATGGAACCAGAACGAATGGTATTCCGAATGGGAGACCTCATCATTCAAGGATTGAAGGCAACAGATACCGGACTTTACTCGTGTAGATTACATTACACGAAGGGGAAGGTGTTAACAGTTGGTGTTTTTTCGCTCTATGTAAAATCACAGGAGTACCCCGAGACACCCGTGTATGAAGGAAGAAAAATCTCCTTACAGTGCAACAGTCACCTGTTGGGCTTATTGTATCCGAAAGCTGTCAGAGAATGGTATCTTAATGGGACAAAGACACCATTACAAAAAATTCCCGCCAACCAAAAACACAATGATGTCATTAAAAAGTCAACTGTCCACATGCAAGGAAACTGGTCATGTGTAGTTCGTGATCCTGTACATAATTGGAAGTGGACGACGGCCTTTTATCGTGTTAAAATATACCCTCCTCTGAAAGGAATAGCTTTTATTATAGATTTTGTCAAACACAACGTGAAATTGACGATTTTTCTTGTAATTGGATGTTTTTGTCTGGTAATGATGCTTACTGCTATCCTCATTGACAAACTGGAGCAATGGAAGAAACGAAAAGATAAACTACAAAAGAGAATGCTCTACCAGTTCATAGAAGATAGCGGAAGAGGATTTTACGACAATAATGATAACCTCTGTTACACTGACGAAGATGGAAATGTGGTCGTCTGCAAAGTATCTGATGATGAGTCAGACGAAGAAGGGATGATAAAAAGAAGAGTGAAGCAGCTAGGCAAAGCAGGGAAAGCAGCGTTAGAGAAGACAAAAGATTTTATAGAGGGTGAAGATAATGATGAAAATAAAAACAACGATGCTAATGAAAACGCCGCGGACTTGGACAGCACATATGATGTTTGCTCGTCTAGTTTTGAGGACGATAAACATGTTTCCTTTTTTGAAGGGTCATTGACAGAGGATAGTTTTGAGACAAGCTTCAGTGAAAGTCGACCGCTATTGTCTCACGTGAATTGTGATGTTTCCTTTAGTTAACATATATTGTAAGTTTTTATTAATGGAAAAGAAGATCATTTTCTAAATTATGCATTATATTTGGATATAGTGATGTAATACTCTTTGGAACCTCCTCTGTGTAAATTTACACATTCATTATATTGTACATTCTTTCAAATGGAAAGTGAAAATATGAAGGAAAAAATGTAAAGGATATTCTTATAAATAAATGAAATTGTAACAACGGGGAAAAGGAGCAGGTATGCTGAAATTCCATGAAATCAACCAGGCTGTGTCGTAAAATATTTGAATACAAAAAGTAATGAAAAAATGACTTTGCATGAAATTATTTGTTTCTTGTAAAATACAATAAACTCCAATGAAATAATAATCAATTCAATTTACATGAACACACTTTAGTTCTTTTAAAATAGTGTCCTCTACAAAAATTTGAATTTTTCAATTAAAATTTTTCATATACAAATTTTAATTGAAAAATTCAATTTTTTGTAGAGGACAATAGCCTGAAGACTTCCTACAACACATGATCTTATACAATTTTAATTTGGTACTTAGTATCAACATTCATTGGAAAGGTTAGTAATACACATGTTATACTAATAGGCAAATTCAGAGGATTGTGGCCCCCTGCTTTCGATCGGTGCCTTAGTGATTAGGATGCAATTATTTATGGCACATTGTAACTCTCTTGTTTGTGTTTCCAGTCTAGTCTATGAATCATACAAAAAAAAGACAAACTATTGAATAAGTAACAGTTATGGCAAAGATTCAAAACATCATCAAATTCAAACCATCGTCAAATAACATAATACAATCCGAAAGATCTTGTCACAAGTAATGCACTTGTGAAAAAAATACCAAAGCCTTATCTCTTCTGGAGCAAAAGTTATAGCCAAAGTTAAAATTTTTGATAAGTAGTTCAAAATTCTAGGTCAAGGTCATGAAGTCAAAAATGATGTATCTTTCTGAAAGATGTTGTTATAGGTAATGTACATGTGATAATATGAAAGCCCTATCTTCTCTCATTCAAACATTATTACCAAAGTAAAATTAATTTGAAAAAGACAATAGGTTAAACTTCAAGGTCAAGGTCATGCGCTCAAAAAACCAGAGTGCATTTGGAAAGGTCTTAAAGTTTTGTGACAGACTGACAGATGAATGAGATTTCATGTCCCCTCGCTTTCGAGAAAGCGGGGGACAATTACTAGTATACAGAAGTGTCTGATTATACTATTGTTTTACCTACTACTGATATTTCTTTAAGTTGATCTCTACAAGATGCAAGAGCTCTAGAAAAAAAACCTTGATAAATTACAGAGCAAACGAAATACCAAGTTTATCTATTTTTATGCCACTAGTATCAAATATTTGTTTATCCCCCCCCCCCAACTGCTGAATGTTTGCTAGTTATTAGATATGGAGCACAGCCCTGTTTTAGAAGTGAACTTACGAGAAATTAAGACCCGTCCGAAATTTAATTTTGCGAATTAGTTTATTTTTACATTAATTTGACATTTAATTTGACATTTAACATTTTTTGAAAGAGTTTAAAAGAATTTTTATGCAAGTAATTTTCAACAAAATTACTATTTTTACAAGATGTTACATTAAGCTGAAGTTTTTGGCCCTAGTCGACGTAAGTTCTGTAAAACGGGACCCTGGATAAACGTTTCGTCAAATTAGGCTCATTTTCGAAACTAAAAATATGTTTTTTTTAGGACAGGCCTGCTTAGAAACAGTCTGGTACTTTTGAAAAAGATCTTAGACAAAGATTTTTTCAACAAAGTTTGAGATGAGGGCAGCCCTAACATGACAAAAATACACCCCAAAAACAAACAAACGTAAGAAAAACCAAAAACAAAACAGCAACAAAGCATGAACTTTTCCTATAACATCATCAACCATGTTATTCCTAGGTGTGACATCATCACCTCTTATAATGATGTTACCTCAATAAGTATAAGCAGAAGGACTAGCCCAGTTGGTTAACTAATAGTAACAGTTAGGCTGCTGTTGTGAATGCGTGAATCCAGGATTTTTTTTTTTTTTTTTTTGGGGGGGGGGGGGGGAGGGGGTGCATACCAACTAAAAATATCCATGCGGAATTTTTTTGACAATTAAGCCGAGGAAAAAAAATCGTAAACAACTTGAATCCCACTTCAGGGGTGGGGGTCCCTTTTCTTCATACATGTACATATAAATGACCCTCCTAACCATTTTACCAGCGATCCGTGTTTTCTAGGGGGAGGGGGTTTGAAAATTGAGAAATACGTTGTCTCAGAGCGGGGGGTTGTCCTCGCCTTGTACGCCCACTTTCTTTCTTTGGCTGCAAATAAGACATCGTAGAGGTTAAAATTTGTTGTTAAATAGTACAAATCTCTTTTCTGTTTGAACTTTCACTAAGGCGTGACAATCTCGGCGATGCATAATTAGCGTCTCCCAGATACTGACCTAGATTCTCATTGGTTAAGAAATTAATACCATTAGCAACTTTAGATTGTTGTTAACAAATAATGAGATGACATAAGCCACACTTCTTTACTAGTAAGAAACGATGTAATTGGTTCCTTGCGTCACTCGTTGACGTCTGAACCAATTTTATCCCATGTTTATTTCACCCGTGAATGAAAAGCTGTGTAAATTTCAGTATTGATGAGCTAATCTGGCAACCAATTGGAATCTAGGTCACTAACTGAGAGACGCTAATTACGTATAGACGAGAATGTCACGCCTTACAGAAAGTTCAAGCAGAAAAGATATTTGTACTAATGCATAATAGCTAAATAACTTTTAAAGCATGACGTCTAGAAGAATCAGTCAGACATTTTTACGTAATCTTTCATTAAATCAAAAAAAAAAAAAAAAAAATAAATAAATAAATAAATAAATAAATAAATAAAAATAAAAAAGGTCAGTAACATTTTTATTGATACATGTACATTTAAATGTACGAATAAATTTTAAAGAAACATGCGGATATAAAAAAAAAATCATATTTAAAAAAAATGAAATAAAATTGTTGGATATTTAAAGGAAGAAAAAAATATGATTTAAAATTTTAATTATCCCGATTGAAGTAAAACTCTTCTCGATCTAAAACAAAATAGAAAAATAATTTAACTTACAGAGCAAAATAATTTCTCAGTGAGCTGGAAATTGCAATTTAGGCCAAGAATGGTCTTTTGGATAAATAAATACCCGGGTAATATTTTAGTGTGGAGAAATTGGCTGTGTAGGGAATCGCAATCTATAAAGATATCGTAGAGTAAGCCTCCTCACCCCCACACACTAATCTCCGAGAAATGTACTTCGATGAGGGACTTCCATGGGAAAATTGATACTCTAGAGTCATGGTGGTAAATAAAATTCAATCTGTTCAAAAATTGAACTGCATCCTTCATAAAGTAAACATAGATGAAGAAACAGTCGGTGACTTAATTAATGAAGATTTTAAAGGGGCCTAGACACAGATTTGAAGTTAATATTTTGTCAAATTTTCTATATAATATAGAAATATAATGACATTACTGCTATAGCATTTCACACGGCAATATAATTTAAAAAAGTTTATTTTATCTGGAAATTACTGAAACTACGTATTTCGGGACGTGTTAAATTGACACATCCTTGCACTTTCACGAAGTAAACTTTATCCTTAATACAGTGATGATGTGAGCAGAGTTTAACAAACTGCCGATGAAACGTAAACAGCTCGTGCCCTGTTTACAAAAACAGTTTACGTTTCACCGGATGTGTTTCATTTGTTAAACTCTGCACACATCACTGAGCACGGACTGACATTAATACTGGTGAGTTGGTTTTCTACTCTGAATTTTCTGGATTAAAGTTTTTATATTTTTCATTAATACACAACAAAATTTCTACTTTTCTTAAGTATTAAGGATAAAGTTTTTACTTTGTGAAAGTGCAAGGATGTGTCAATCAAACGCGTCCCGAAATTCGTAGTTTCAATAATTTTCAGATAAAATAAGCTTTTTATTATATTTCAGTGTGAAATGCTATAGCAACATATAAGTCATGATATTACACAGAAAATTTGAGAAAATATTAACTTTAAATATGTGTCTAGGCCCCTTTAAAGTATGCAATCAAGAAATGATAAAGAACGAGGGCGCTTTTGATTGGCATTCGGCAGGAATCTGGGCATACTTGAAAAGTGAAAATTTCATTGATCTGTCACATAAAATTTTAGCATTCTTTTGATGAATCGGGTTCCTGTGAAATAGGAAAGGGACATATTTTTCCGATATTGTTTTTTGTTTTGCTAAAAAAGAACTTGAAAATTGGCTAGACGAGTCATTTGGTACAAAATGTTACATTTTTAAACATGTTTTTCTAAAAATTTACTATTTCTGGGTCATCTCTCCATGATTTTGAAACGTTGTGTGCATTTTAATTTAAAGAAACAAACAAACATTTGTAAGAAATGGAGAGAAGACCCAGAGACAATAAAAAATAAACTTTTTTCAAAAAAATTCCAATGTGTAAATGCGGTGCTTCATTGTCCCTTTAAAAACCATGAAGTGTATGTAGCGTTGATAGCTCAGTAGTATGCGTTACCCGTCCAGTGCAATGAAAAGAAATATTTTTGGTTCGATCCTCGCATGGAGCGTTATTATTACCCTTTTTTTGGGGGTGCAAACAATCAATTCTTTTGTCAGTTTAGTTTTATGTACTGATTTATTTTCAGATAGATAAATTCTGGTTCTGTTGCACCGAAAGCGAAAGCAATTCTTCCAACCTACTGATACTTTAATATTAACATGTACATGTACTTGTAATTGCATTTAATTATACCCCATACGTGTTTATTATTTATGTCAAGCGTTACTAAGTTTTACATGTAGTAATTATTAAGATAAGCGGACTGATATATTATTTTTGACAAAGTATTTCAAACTAAATGTAACATTTTCCCATGTGCGTGACTTTTAAAGTATGTCCAGCTGTGGTCAGCCGACCAAATCGTAGACATTTAAACTATAAATGTTTCGTACGCCTTATTCCTGCAGATCACACGCCAAACACGCCCATCTTCTTTATCTAAAATTAAGATTAAAAGTTCACAGGATGTGGAAGACAATATATAGTGCCATTGATTATGGTCTAAATACTTAGAGAAAGTGTACGTTATTAAATATCACTTGTCTAGCAGCACGAAGGATCAAAATACATTCTATTACTACATCTGGAAAAGAAAATCAAAGTCAGAAAAAATGTTTGAAAATCAACTTGAACCTTTTTATTTTCTGGTGGATGTTGCTTAGCTAGTTGATTATTTTTAGGCCCCATTGATCGGACCTTGCATATACGATTCAAATGAACCATTTAAGTTTACATAATTGTCATTTCAAATGAAATTATAGTATTGATATACACTAGTACCAAATACTAGCAATGTTCTCTTTACTCAGCAGGTATTTGATAAACCCCTACAACGCGCATGTAACAAATAACAAGAAATTTGTGACCAGCAGGATGAAACACGATGTTATAAGCGTTTTCTCCATTAATGCTTAGATTTACTTTCCTGCTGCTTGTACCATCAAATTTGATTTGTTCGACATCATTCTGACATTTACAGACGAAAATATTATTTTCAGAGTCCATCGCCATCCCCCGTGGCATTCCTGATATCAATTTAAATTGAGAAATTTCACTCCCTTCTGAGTCTATTAAACATACACTATCATTTTTCCCATACACAAATATGCCAGGAGTTAATGAAGATGCAACAAATGCCCTGTCACCTATACGCTTGTAAGATGATGAGCTGCGCAAACTGAAGTCGGGTGATAAAAAACATCTCTTCGCAGAATTTGCTGAAAACACCACTTTTGGGCAGTGCACAAAATCTTCAATTTTTTCAGTCAAATCTATTTTCATCAATTTATTAAATCTTGTCCCACCGTCTAATATTTCAAACTTCAGTACGAAAGTACCAAAAGCGACAAAAACTTCATTCATATTGTTACCATAGGAGAGGCCGTATGGCGTACCGTCACACTGCTCAGAGTGAATACAATTCCAAGGTGAACTAAGTGTGTCATAGACATCTAATGAAGACTTTGATTCAATGGAAAAGAGTATGCGAGTTTCATCTAAAAACAGTCCAAAATATACTGAGTCAGGCAATCTGAAATTTGACAACATCTTGAAGTCAATGTTCATCAGATCTTTTTCCTTCAAGTATGCCCTGGAACAAGGAATATTTCTTTTCCCAGTAAATTCATATACAAAATCAGACATGCTGTCAGTCGTCCTCTTTTCTTTAACTAAAATATCAATACTGTGCAATTTTCCAACCTCTTTTAATTGTTCGAGCACATCAAAACTTTTCTGAGTGTAGCTTTCTGTAGGTTCCCATATATTCAATGAGTTCATTCGATTAAAGTGACTGGTAACTTGGGCTTGCAACAAATGTTCTGACATAAACATTTGTTTTATTGAGCCTTTGTCAATTACTGAAGAAAGGAGTGATTTTGCATCTCGCACAGTTGTACCAAAACGTTTCAGTTCGTCTGAGGACATTTCAATTTTATCTGTATTTTCCTTGTGAGCTTGCTCAAAATGCTTTAACCACTGTACGTGGGCATTTTCAATCAGAGTTTTCACCTTTTCTACCTCATTTGCCATGCTGGACATTATCGAGTCTTTCTTAGCGTTCAAGGATAGAATGTCTTGCGTGTTCCTTAAAACAGCGCTATCAATGGATTCCAATAATTCACTGAGTACTTTATTTATCTTTTCGAGTTTTTCTTTGTCAATCTGAGATGAAGCATCTTCTATTGATATAACACTGGCACATCTGCGATGCTCTGTAGCAAAACACACGCTACAACAAAGCTTTGAATGGTCTTCACAAAACACCTCGAGTAGTTTCCCTTTGTGTTTCCTACATGGCTCATCGACATCGACAGGTTCATTTCTATGGCTAGCATCCGACAACTTCACTATTCTGTGACTTGAAAGGACTGGAATAAGATCATGAATATGCTTGCAGCATTCACAGATCGCTTCTACACAAGTTTTACACCAATATGTGGCTGCAACCTTTTTACTATCTCGCTCACAAAACGTACAATTTTTACCAGTAGTATCCGAATTTATGTTCATCGTTTGTATTAATTTATTAACTGGGAGACATTTCGCCCATTTTTCGCTGGAAATATTAATTTCTGGTTCATCGACAGTTTTTCTGCACACGGGACAAACTATAAAGTTTGTATTCTTTTCACTATCTCGAGTCACCGTACTTGAGATGTAGGTCTGAATGCACGATTCACAAAAACTGTGTAAACACGACAAATACTTAGCTGTGGTCAATCTTTCCAGACAAATTGGACACGTAAATGAATCACTGACAGTCTTATAGATGGCAGCTTCAGCCATATTGGTTTGATGTTTTATCTTTCTAAAACCCTCTCAAATATTGAAATTAGACGTTCCGCCATTCCCACTGGTACGGACCACAGTTGTAGCCACAATTTATTTACTGTCAGAAAAAGAGTTTTAATTGCTTACTCCGAGTTTCCAGAGGTCCATGTTTTATGCGCTTTTCACATATTTAGACTGTTTTAAAAGAATTTTGAGATCGATCACTGTTTGGTATCTTAATTTTTTTAATTGAAAATCCTCTTATTTGTAAGGGACGCAATAAATATAAATAATCTATATAACAATTAATTGAAATTAAATTAATTGAACATGCACTTTATTTGACAATGTTTTCCTCTTTTCAGTAAGCATGGTGAGTAGCACTGAATTTCAGTGAATTTTGTTCATCCATATACAGACCCTACCATATGTTTTTAAACATGTTTCCCCCTTGGGGGCGTGGGGGGATCTATCAAAGCTTTCATCTATTAAGTGCGAAAGTCTCAGCTGACCCCTTATGTGAATTATTGCCCCTTTGTGCTTATCGTTATCAAAGTACATCTTAAAGTATATCAAAAAATTGCTCACATAATCATTAAAAACTAGAGGTACTGTAAGCACTGAGCTCACAAAATGGTACCCCGCTCCCAAATTAGTATAAGAGCAAAGTCCATTTTTGCTATGGAAAAGCCCAAATATCTGTCTGATCAAAACATAAAATAGAAGGTGCACAGTGGTGCCACGCAAGAAAGACTCTGTGAAAGTCTGATATTAAATTCTATTCATTGGTATATGAGGAGTTGCGGATAACAGGTGAGTAACCTCAATATTATAGAAAGAATTGCAGTGTCTAATGTTTTCTAAGGCAAACCCAAAACATAAAATAGGAGGTGCAGAATGGCACTTTGCAATAAAGACTCTGTGAAAGTCTGATTAAATTTAATCATTGCTATAGGAGGACTTGCGGATAAGAGATTGGTACCCCCCATGTTATAGAAAGAATGACAGTGTCCATGTTTTGTCATAGGAAACTCTGAAACACTTAATATCTGTCCGATTTGAAAATAAATTAGGAAGTGCACAATGGCAAGTGCTATGTAATAAATATTCTTTGAAATTTGAGTAAAAAATGGGGACCCCCGATAATATAGAAAAAATGGCAGTGTCCATGTTTTCTATAGCAAACCCAAAACAATGGAACCAGAACGAATGGTGTTTTAAATGGGAGACCTCATCATTCAAGAACTGAAGACTACGGATACCGGACTTTACTCCTGTTACTCCGCTATCTTCTATGAACTGGTAGAGCATTCTTTTTTGTAGTTTATCTTTTCGTTTCTTCCACTGCCCCAGTTTATCAAAGAGGATAGCAGTAAGCACCATTAGAAGACAAAAACACCCAATTACAAGAAAAATTGTTAATTTCACGTTATGTTTGACAAAATCTATAACAAAAGCTATTCCTTTCAGGGGAGGGTGTATTTTGACACGATAAAAGGTCGTTGTCCACTTCCATCTAGCATGATCAGTTTCCTTGCATGTGGACAGTTGACTTCTTGATGACATCATTATGTTTTTAGTTGGCGGGAATTTTTTGTAACCGTGTCTTTGTCCCATTCTCTGACAGCTTTCGGATACAATAAGCCCAAAAGATGACTGTTGCACTGTAAAGAGATTTTTCTTCCTTCGTAGACAGGTATCTCAGGGTACTCCTGTGATTTCATATAGAGCGAAAAAACGCAAACTGTTAACATTTTCCCTTTCGTATAATGTAATCTACAGGAGTAAAGTCGTCGCCCGCGTGGCGCAGTGATTAGAGAGTCTGCTCTAGAGTCGCGAAGTAAGGAGTTGATCCTTACGTCGCGGGTTCGAATCCCACTGTGGGACGTGGAGACCGGTCCTTCGGATGAGACCGTATAAACCGAGGTCCCGTGTCGCAGTAGGTGCTGGCACGAAAAAGATCCCTCACTGCTCAATGGCCGTAAGTGCTGAGCATAGGACAAAATTTGCAACTCTCCACCGGCAAGGGGTGGTGTCTCCATATGAGTGAAAAATTCTCGAGAGAGACGTTAAAGAACATACAAACAAACAAGAACGCTAAAGTATGATTCACGAAGTCTCGCATGTATCCGATATTAAGCTAAAAGGATGACTGCACTTAACGCCGGGTTTTGGGTCTTTTTCGATCGCTTCTGTTGCTTTTATATCATTATCTTATTTCATTTCTATATATTTATGAAAGAATCCTGTCAATTTCGAGCCGAATTTAAACATTAAAATGATCTTGGACTGTGATACAATAAAATGATTCTATGTTTTCTGTCCTTACTCTTTCCAAATATAGAGAATTTACACTTACCTGCCCTTGATTAAACATTAGGTATGCATGAGAGGTGGAGCTAATATTGTAAGAATGGGTCTAAAATTAGACTAGATAAATAACAATGACATGTATTAAAAAATACGAGATCACTCTTTCCCATTCCCTCTTTATTCTGTATGGCACAAGTACACTATGTTCAGAGGTTTCAAAAACGAAATTAACAATATGAGCGACGTCCATGTAAGTAAAGAATCTTTTAAATCAATGCCTAACAATTTAACGTGTTCGAGCACTTTGTCCTAGTTAGCACAAAACATGCTACTTTACAAGTCACGTGACGGAATTTAGTATTCACAGACTTACCTGAGGTAAGAAATCACGTGGTGAATTATAATATTCAACATGATACAGCCCTTGGTTACAATAGAGAGAGCGAATGTAAGAAGAAGCAGTTTTTTCTCGTTTAAACCATGAGCGCATGTTTGTCTATTAATCTCCTTTTGACACAACATTGTTAATACAAATATACAACTACTGTTAAACGGAGAACAATAGACAAACATGCGCTGACTATGTATAAAGTCAGTGAAAAAGTGGGCGTCCTCATTATCGAACGGAGATTCAAGATATTGTGATGACCCCCGCCTTAGAAAACAGCTTCGTACTTCGTAAATACGCACTTTTATTTAATGTAATTACATAAAGTTGTAGATTAGATGTTGACCATTCGTGCAATTAAAAGAAAAATGCTTGTTTTGAAAGTTTATTTTGTCACAATTTTCGCATGTCCTTAAGTGCAGTCATCCTTTCGGGGAAAATATCGTTATACGGAAGTTAATCGTTACGGAAGTTAATATTCAGCAACGTTTGTTTTAAGTGTAAAACCGGAAGTAGAACTCTTAAATGAATAAATTAACAAAGTTACTAGCCAACTTGGCTTAAAGCAGTAAACTATCCTTTGCAAATGATAACAAATAATACATAATAGTCAAAATTTAACAGAGAATAAAGTCTTTAAAAATTGCACAGGAATAAATAAAGTTTTATCAAAAATATAATTTAATTTGGCAAGTGAATAACAACAATCTCAATAAATAAATAAGAAGTTTGTGAAAAAATTAATAGAAAATGGGAGGAATGTGGAAACCCTATGAAAGATGCTTAATAAAAATATCTATGTCCCTACTGAGCCTCCATACTTATGAAAAAATGGGCAAAAATATACACAACCGAAAATGCCAATGAACTGGAAAATGTAAGGAAAATGAGCTACATCACCCAATATGAACTCTATTAATCAACACTCTAGAATAATAATGCTAAATCTGGACTCTAAAAATATCTTACCCAGAAAATAAACAACACCAAAATTAAATAATAAATAGTGAATAGTGGTTCTAGGAATTAGACCTGTTATCTACATCTCCTTAACCCAGGCTGGACTTGGAAAGGGAACCTAACTTATTTATGAAACCCTAACATCCTAACAAATCATAAAATGCTCGCTCAGCACGTGCTAAATGAAACCTAGAATGCCGTGTACCTTTAAGGTTCGCATAAAATTAGAGATAGTGTGCCATGAGGCTTATCCCTAACCGAGTGAAGAAAACTGCTCGAGCACAGCTTTAAATACCCTATCTAGGCCCAAAAATAAAAGCCAATAAATATCAAAGATCCTATAGCTAACTTAACCAATCAGAACACAGCTTTCAAAAGTACTATGGAAAGACTCCCAACATGGATGACACTTCCTGTATGTGGAATGTCAACACATGTCCTAACTTATAAAGGACAAATAATAAAGGGGTTTTACGTAAGTAACAACTGAAAACATAAGGTAAATAGAATTAACAGACTGAAATACCAACAAATACTTCTAAAATAATATGTTTTACGGTGTGACCGTTGGGGGCGAGCGCAGTTGTACCATCAAAAACCTATACACAGTTTACACTTCTAACGTTGATGGATCCGCCTCTTCAAACGTCAAACCGCACGAGACACAGTCAAGACTGTGACGTCACATGACGTCGGAATTTACGGAGACAGCCGAGCTTCTGGTTGAACGAGACTAAAGATCTTGTGCAATAATAAATGAAATACGTTGTAGAGTGGATGTAATTATTTTTATTTCTTTTAAGCCCTCTGCAAAGAAAGAAAAGTAAACGTTTCTCTCGGTAATGAATAATTATCCTTGGTCTTTTGAATGTTTTGTAAGAATTTGGCATGGAACCCTGGTAGCGAAGGAATTCTGGGAATGTTGCCCCAGAAAATTTCCCTGACGTATGTACAGATTTCATTCCGAATTTCCTCTGTTCTTACACGTTAGTCTATTGAGCTCGCTTCGCGAGCGGCGCTTCGCGCCGCTCGCTGCGCTCGCTATAATTTTCGAAACAAGGGCTATGAAATAAAAATCTAAACCACTACATAAGATTTTAAACACAAGTATGAAGCATTTTACTCCTAAAATAAAAAAAATTATACCATTTATGCAAAAACTTTCCTAAATTACCATTACGGAAGTTGAATTTTTAAGAAAGACAACTGTCTAATTCATTTTGTTATGTCGAAAATGTAATGGTCTAAAGTAGCTGAGTTGAAATCAGTCTTTAAAATTATAGTTAAGATATTACAACGGTAAATTTGTAAGCGACATAAAAATTCTTAATTGGGCATGCTTTTGTAGAATTATGTCTGTTTTAATTTAAAGTATTTGTACCCCATGGAAAAACTTTAA